CATTTTTATTTTCTTCTCTCTGCTTGTTTCTTTGACCTGTTCTTTTCTGCTCACCTATATGCTTGCTTTCCTCTTTAATATCACCAGTTGTTCTTTTCTTTAGTCTAGCCATCTGACTTTTTCCTAGTGCATACTGCTGTTGTCCCAGTTGTATAGCCAGACTCTCAACGCAGCATTTTTTTTTTTTGTTTTACTATGGAATATCCCACCATTAGTCAGAAGTGCCCTGGGGGAATTATCTCCATTACTTTGTGTGTACTCTGGATGCTGTACTGTGACTGGGTTAATCATCTCTCACATAGCTGCTCTGTTATATTTTTTATTGTATTTCGGTGATCACCACTGTGATTGATATTGTATGTACTGCGACTGTTAATGTTAATTTAAAAAATCATTGAAAACGAGAAAAGAATACTCCTTCTCTAGATAAGAAGCTAAAGTCCTCTAATAAGAAAGTCTTCCGCCTTTTTCTTGCAGGAGAAAAGGTCCAAATCCTCCAAGGTTCTTCCTCAAAACAGAGGTCTCAACCCAGACCAAGTCTTTCTAGGCCTCCAAGCCCAGCAAGGGTTTTGTTAAAAAATGTGCCAGCATATAAGCCTGTGCAGGTTGTCCAGCTCTATTGTATAGTCTAAAACCACTATACAAAAAGTTCTTAATTAGGATTTCTTCACAACAGGGTGTTGATAGCCAATACTTGCTTCAAACAGGCTAGCTGACTCAATGATTGCAATCTGTACAGACTAAGGTGTGACATTCGTGCCTAGTGCCTGATACCCAGACTCCAGTTATGGAAAAATTTAATAACTTTTACTTGCATACCGTGCTCTCCACAGTTATTAGAAACAACGGCAAAAGTTTGGTTATTCCTAATTTGAGTTTCTTTGTTTCAGTACCAGTTTTGCTAAGCATAAAGCTTAAGTATTTGCTCTCTATAGGTACAGAACTGACAGCTAGAACTACTAATCATACATTTGCATTTCAAACTTGTAACTCAGCACAGTTATTCATTTTTTAAAGTTCTGGTCAAAAACATGTCTGTCAAATTAGTTGAGAATGGAATGGCCAGCTTCTCCTGTCTTATTGGACAGCCAGTTAGAGTGGTACACCCTAATCTCAGACAGTATATAGTTGAGCTCTATTGAGAGTCCTTATCTAAGGGGTTATGTTACTGATTTGTACATTTCCAGATTTTTACGAACAAACCCCTGAAGCAGGAGAAATATTATTATTATACAGTATTTATACTGCACCAGTTTTTGCACCACTTTACAAAATGGAGGGAGACAGTACAGTTACATTACAATTTAAATACAGGAGGGTTAGGAGGGCCCTGCTCGTGAGAGCTTACAATCTAGTAGGAGGTTTAAGTGATACAAAAGGTAATTATTGTGTGGAATAAGCAAATGGAATTGGTAAAATGACAGGTATTATGTTGAGGTGGTATAGGCTTCCCTGAAAGGATGAGTTTTCAAGGATCGCATAAAGGTGGACAGAATATGAGATGAGAAGACAGATTGTGGTAGGGCATTCCAGTGGATGGTATTGGCTCTGGTTAAGTCCTGGAGGCGAGCATGGGAGGAGTTAACGAGATAGCTGGAGAGAAGGAGGTCCTGCCAGGAACAGAAATTACGGTGATATTTTAAAATGAGGTTGGTGATGTAATTTGGGGCGTAGTTGTAGATGGCTGTGGATGTTGTTAATATTTTCAATTTTATTTGTTGGACAAGTGTGAGACAGTGGAGAGATTGGCAGGGAGGGGTGGTGGACACTGAAAGGTTGGTAAGGCGGATGAGTCTGGCAGCAGCATTTATGACAGACTGAACAGGGGTTAGGCCAACAAGG